GGTATATTTAGGGTAATAAGGGGATACTGTCGGTCAGCGATGGTCTGCTGAAAATCAACTTGTTGTTGGTGAAGATTGAAAAAATAGGTATCTAGTTTTTTCTACGCAAAACTAATTTGGACTATATTTGACCAAATCGACTTTTCAGTGAGTTAGCGTGCTACTCAAAAAGATATTTCTTCAGTGAGACAATGAGGGCTATGTTTGTGTGACTACGTTTCCTCCTATACAATTTCTGCATATCTGAGTGTATTTACCCGGCAGTATGATATGTGTTTGCACACTATCAAAATTTCCGGCTATTTGAAATGAGTTATTTCCATCATCATCAGCAATGGCTAACTGCTCAAATATTTATTTGAAAAGCAGCGAATCGACTCCATTCACGCAGAACTAATTTCGGATGTTTGTTTTTCAGCATTCAGGCACGCATCGGCATTCAGGTTCAGGCATCGCCAAAGAAAGGACCTGCTGGTGGGTGTTGAAAATTTAATGTACGCAGAGGGGCCGAATAAGCGCCTTTTAGAACAATCAAACTCAATTTAACTTGGGATTGGAATACTATTTGTATAGTAAATAACAGTGCTATTGTCCTGAATCCCCTGTAACTTCGCTATAGCATGTCTGTTTCGTATTAGGACGGTATGAACGTTCGTTTACGTAGTATGAACTCTAAAGGAACAAAACGGTCTTTATAGAAATCGTTTTGATTTGACAGAAGTGAAATTATGAATTTTAGTCCAAACTGTTGACAGCAAAGTGACTAGTGACCACCACAACTTAGGGATCACATTTTAAATACGAGGTCTGTAAGTTAAGTGATGAGACTGGCAACGTAGAGTTCGATCTGGCATTACTGGAGGAGGAGGAGGACAGGAGAACACGTGATCCTCCTTCAGTACAAGTTTGAAATCGCTCGAGTCGTCGATTGAGAGTCAGAATGATCGAAGAAGAGTTAAATTTGACACACCACCGGTCAACAGATCAAGAACAACTGGAAGTTGCACCACGATAATCCTCCTTGTCACACAAACGAGTTTTTGGCCAGTAAAAAGACTCTTGTGGCCCCTCAGCCTCCTTGTCCGCCTGACTTGAGTCCTTGTGAGTTTTTTCGCTTCTCGAAGCCTAAAAATCAGCTCAAGGTAATTAATTCATTTTGATGCAGTCGAAAACGTTCACACGGTTGTAACCGACCAGCTGAAGGCGATTCCAGTATCGGAGTTCTAGGACTGATATGAAGAGTGGAAGAACGTCTCCAGCGCTGTATCGCTTCCGAAGAAAGTCATTTTTTCTTGTCTCTTTCTTTACGTACATAAACAAGCAGATCCTGCAATTAAGGAAAACCTACAATTTTCGCGACACAAATTTTTTAGTGCTATCATCAAATTTGTTCGAAAATCTCGAAAACCATCGATCCTATGTAAAAAAGTAACAAGAGGAATTTTGTAGGAATTAAATTACTATGTTTCATTCATGAAGGTTTGTCGTATAGTCGACAGATTACGAGAAATTAAACGGTAAAAATACATGTAATGAGATTTCCGTTCAAAACGGATAGGCTTAGAATCTAAAGCTATAAAACACAACCATTTTTTGTAGAGACTGGAATTTGAAAAAAAAAATTTACGTTTTTTTTATGCTTTGATGGTGCTTGAGGTATAAAGAGGGAAAGGTGAAAAATCGCATCAAAGTAGTAATAAATAATATATACAGTGTGTTTCAGAGAGTCGTACCAATATTTCTAGGGCATAAATAACAAAAAAAGTTCCTATAACTATGGGTCAAAAGATACTGACATATAGAGTGGTGAAGTTTTATTTGCGAAATTAAAAGAAAGGTGTCTACAGAGCGGGTAAATAGATTAAATTAAGATTTTACACGTTCAGTGAGCAAATCATGAGCAATAAGCATATAGTTAATGGCCCAAACTAAACCAGGGACGTGGAAAGTGGGATACCTGGGCTTCTAGTAGGGAATATGTTCTGAGCCACTGACCTTTTTGGAGGAAAGAAGTGCACTCTAATAAATACTATTCAATTTTCCATGAATTTTTCCACTTAAATGATTTTTGTCAGATTACTCGAATTTGAGATATTCAGGTTTGAATATGTGAGGTAAAATAATAAAATTCTATAATATTCTGAAAACATCGTGAAGCTTGATATTTTAAATACTACATCGCATGTGAAGAAAGATATAACAGCTCTTTTAAAAAATAATTATAATAATAATTCTCTATCAGTAGCATAAAAGCTTACCATTCACGGGTGTACTTTCGAACCTAGAAATATTGGCTGTCTTTCTGCATTCAATACCATTTGATAGTCACCTACGCATGTGCAGCACGGTGTTTTCTAGCCAAAACACATATGCGTAATCTGCAGGTTTTGCAGAACAGAACCTTGCGAACCATCACTAACGCACCGTGGTATGTCTCCAACGACACCCTTCACAGAGACCTCGACATCCCTTACCTAAGGGACTACATCAAACATCAGGCGCAGTTACGTTATAGTCAAGCGCACTCGCACAGCAGCCCTCTGTTGCGTGAATCAGTAGACTACACAGTCGAGCAAGTTCGCAAGCACACAAGACCGCGGCTCGCACTGTGATCAAAATCAAATCGTGCAATTCTAGGTCTAACCAAAGTTACGATTTTTGGCACACACAAATTCCTAAATCAATTTTTGGATTAATTTAAAATAACCGAATACCAGTTAACAATAGCAAGGCATCTCTTTAACCGGCGCACTTCACCCTCTTTGCTCTTCTTCCTTCCCTTCCTTTCTTTCTTCTTCCTTTCTTTCTCCCTGACTTCGTCTGGTATCTGGGCAACCAGACCTAACCTAAGATACTTTAACAAAGAGCGAAGGTTCCACGGACCGCTCTGACGGACAATGACGAATAGGAACCATTTCAAAGTTAATCCACATGCAAGAATGGAAAATATAATATTTTTAGATAATTACGATGTTTTTATTAAGACGATCAAGTCACTAACTTCCACCAATCTTTCTATTGGCGATATGATACTACATAATTTCAGTAACCGTTGTAATGATTGCAGTGGAAAAGGAGATGTCATAGATAATGTCGGTTTATGGCATCAGCCCCTTTCCATTAATATTGTTGCAGGGGTTGCTGAGGATTCACAGTGGCAAAATCGCCAATAGAAAGATCAATGAAGGTGAGGGTATTGCCTTTTCATAATGAATATACCAGAATGTATCGGGTTTTCCAAAAGCGACTTGACAACTTTGAACTATCACTGTGAACGCACCCCTAAATAAATTACCGAACTGTCAGTCGGTGACTGCAACTTTTGGTCGTAATTCTCAACCCAGTAGACAAGCAATTCATAATGTAGTAAAATAATTTGAGTCCACATAGTCGCTGCTGGATGTTCCCGTGCCAATGAGACAACGGGTTGGTCGAAGTGCCGAGAATAGTGATGCCGTTCAAGCTTCCGTTGCAAACGAACAGAACACGTCGCTCTCAAGAGTTGGGCATGGCTCAGACCTCACTATGGCCAATTTTGCGAAGAGATCTTGGTCTGCACCCTTATAAGAAACACCACTTCATCCATAAAAAATTATTGTATGGTGTGGTTTAATGCCGGTGGTGTCATTGGGACGTTTTTTTTTTCGTTGATGAATATGACCGTCACGTTATAGTCAACCGAGGTCGCTAAAAAGACGTATTGCAACGTTATTTTTTTGGTCAATTGGATAGGCTAGACATTAATGATATGTGGTTTCAACAAGACGGTGCCACACAGCGGGTGAAACAATCGACATATTGAAGTCAAACTTCGGTGAACGTGATATATCGGGAAATGGTCCTGGCGAATGGCCGCCTAGATCGTGTGATTTAACTCCTCTAGACTTTTTTTGTGGGGCTACATTATATCATTGGTCTATGACAACAAGCCAGCGTCGTTGGAGGAGCTCAGGGCGAATATTGAACGAGAAATGTGTGGCCGAGTCATTGAAAATTGGGTTCAACGAATCGATCGCTGCAAACGTGCCCATATGAACGAGGTCGAATTCGATACATAAATGTTTTGGGTATACTTATCAAGTCCTTTATGGAAAACTCTTTATTTGAAAATATGATATTTTCCATACTTACGTAGCAGTAAAGAATGAGCTCAGTTTAAAATGGTATTAGTTAATGACCTATGAAGTTAAACATGTTGTATGTTGATACATCACATATCCGGACTAAGCTGCATGACCCTTCTGATACTAATTTTTGAATTTCGCTGCGTATCCTCCAAAGAACCAACGAGGTGTCGAAAAAGAACCTTTTTGTAGAAAATTCTGCAAAAAATAGTTGTAGTCTTTGTACGCTTAGGTTATTACTTTGACCACTATACGCGAAAATATCATTACACGCACCTATACCGTTAAATTTCTCTCGGGCTGTCGGACTATAGATTGTGTGAATGATCCTGTCATTGTAAGTTCATCCGCCGTTTAATTAGGGTATCTTGACTGGCCTGGCATATGAGGAAGTTAAGATTATGTTTAGCTTAGCTTTGATACTACTCGTCGTTGCTTCTCAAGGCGGTCCGGAGGATCTTAGCCTTTAGGTCATAGTCACTGTAATGTCAGTGTGTGTCGTCAGTCTGTCAGGTCCGGTGGCCCAGAAACCAGACAAGTTGTAGGGGAAATGGGAGAGGGAGAAAGGAAGGAAGGAAGTAGGGCGACAAGAGAAAGAAAAGGAATTGTTTTATGTTAATATTTGAGGTGTGAGAGATCTAAGAACTGTTACATTGTACTATATAAATTGTTTCACTTGTCCTGAACTGAATTTTGGGTCTTTGGTTTTTAAAAACTATAATTTTTAAAGGTCTAAGCATGAATTAAATTTTGTTCACAGTGCGAGTCGTGGCCTGGAATGTTTGCGTATCTCCTCGACTGTGTAATCCACTGCTTCACGCAACAAAGGGTTGCTGTGCGATTCCGCAAAGCAGGCTGTCTGTTATACTTAGCCATCTATGCGCTTATCAGAGGAGTAATAATTTGTTGGAGTGACTTGAGCGCGGTCACGAGGTCTACTTGTTGAGAGTTGAAAGCAGGAGCTGCGGCTGAAGTGGCAGGAGCTGAAGGCTTGGCTGTTATTTCAGCATAAGATTTATTGCGCCTTTCGGCTATAACCTGTAAGTTCTTCTTAGGAGTGCACCTGCACGTTGGACTGTTGGCTGCATGCCCGTCCCCGCAGTTTGCGCATTTGCGTACCTCCTGTCTTGTTTGGGGGCACAAATGTGTTAAGTGGTTCTGTGCACATTTCACACATTTGGGTGACGCTGTACAGTAAGACTGGGCGTGCCCATACATCTGGCAGCTGTGACACTGGCCAATGAGTTTATTATTTATCTGAACCTCGACCTCAATGGACAGGCCTAATAGTTCTGTTTCATTGAATAATTCATGTGATTTTTCGATTTTAGGCAGCATCACCACTACCAACGACATGGGAGTGCCCCCACTGCGTTTTAGTCTGATCAGAGGGGTATATCCTTTCTGGTTCAGCTCCTGCTTTATCTCTTCCTCGTTGAGTGACGCGGGGATACCGCGTAGGACAGCATGTATGTTTCTTTCCGATGGCAGAGGAAAGGTATGATTAACAATATTTTGCTCTTTGAAATGCCGAATTATCTTTCTGTAATCGCCCTCGGCTACCGCGCGATCTATCTTAATCCCTAGACTAATAAATTGATAATTGATGTTTCTCCACTTTTCTGGCTCCCTCAGCACGACCGGAGTGATGCGCCTTGGTTGAAGCTGCAGCGCCACTGTGCTGGCATAACCAGAAGGTGCAGCACTAGTATAGGTCTGTGTATGTGAAGTAGTTATGTGCGATGTATCAATGAGTGGATGAGTATTAATTTGTGAAAGATGTGTTACTGTAGGTGCAGATTGAGTCGGTAAAGGGGGGAAGTCTTCTGTGGCATGTCTAGTCGTTGTTTGTCTTTTCCTTTGTCTAGCTGGCGTAAACCCGTCGCAGCGTACGCTGTCATCAGAAAGAGCGTCGTCGTCAATTGGATCCTGATTTTCAGGTCTACGTTGAAGGCTGTCACTACGGGAATTTCTACTTAGCTGTGTATTCAGTGCTGTAACCTGGGCCGTCAAGCGGTCACTACTATGATTGAGGCTCTTGATAAGATCCGCCTGGTCTGCAATCTGCTGGGCCTGCTGCTGTATCTGGCGGGCCTGCTTTTCAGTGATAGTCGTCAGCATCTGGATGGTAGAGTTGCTGCTGTCATCTGGCACAGCTGGATTTTCATCTTGTTTTCCAATTTTAGCTGCAGTTCTGGTAGAGTCAGCACCTCTGGTGGAGGACCGACCATCCTCCGACCCTTCCGGGTCCTTGTCCATTTTTTTTTCTCGACTTTTATTATATTATAAATTTTTGATGTTTACAATCAAAACCCTGTACAGGGCGATACGCTTAACTTTGATGTTAGCAAGGCGGCGAAACCGAGCAGTAAGTTAACCAATTATTGTTCTCGCGATTTAACACTGTTTCTTGTAAGAAAAATATGTTATTTGAAAAGACCCTCCCTCTTCCTCGTGTGAGGCGGAGCCTAAACACTAGGGCTCCGCGGCTGCTATGTGAAGCTTATAGAAACTTTGTTAATCTGATTTGTAAACTGCCTAAGATTGATAGAAGTGCGAAAAACCTCCTCATGTAGATTGTTCCACAATCTCTGTACCTTAGGGACAAAGGGGCGGTCGTACCGGCCAGCTCTGGATGTACGAAGTGGTGAGAAACGGCTCGGCCCCTCCCTCTGAACACTTCATGTAATTAAAGGACACTCCCTCAAATTGAAAACGTACCTTTATACGTGGGAAGTAAAAAGAAGAACATTGTTATAAAGCGCTACTGTACCTACCTGCCGCAGTAATCTCTCAGTGATAATTAATTCCGGTTAATTAAAATATGAAAGTGGCCACCTGGGAGGTTAGCAAGCTACAGTTTTCTCTGGAATACACCGACTGCTCCCTAATTTGAACCACTTAATATTTACCGCTAATGAGCTAGAAGGAGATTATTGTTATTTATTCTCTTCGCTTCCGTAGAACCGCTAATTGTTATTCCTCGGGCGAGAATTGTGCTCTTCATTCGCCTTTTATGTGCCTTTTATGCTGATTTTTTAATTGTGGGTGCTAGTAATTGACCATCTTATGACACTGCGGCTCTTTCTAGAATATCATCATAGTATCTTCCAAAAAATATTCTGGAACATGTTCAGGATAAAAGGGGCTTTCCCTACTTTAGGCTTGTTGTAGAGTCTGCCAACTTCTCCAGGAATACAATTGTGGTTCATTAAAAATACAGAGTAATTGAATGCCAATATTCAAGAAGGCGATTGTTGTGTCTATTTTAAGACAAAAACTTCATGTGAACGTATGTCCGAAACGGACACGGAGGTAAAGCTTTGAAAAATAAATGATTCATTACTTATGTCAGTAAATAGAAGTACCACTTTAGATAGTTTAATGAAAAGTGGCGTACATGTACTACGTATCGTGCCTTTTTTATGTAGTACCTTTTCCAATTTCCACCAGTGGCGTTCGTACGGGATTTCGCTCGCCTGTTTTGGCAAGCATTGGTTGAACGCCACGGATTTCTCATGGAATAAAAATAATCTTCGAATCCATTCATTGCTGAGCAAACTTTTTCCCTTGACTTTTCCAATCCGATGCATAGATGATAATATCGTTAATATGGCAATATCGCCGTGCAGAGAAATATCTTTATGTTTGGTGACAAACAAAAAAGATTCAAGAGTTAATTGCTGCTCTTAAATGAATGCAGATTTTATTTTTTCATATTAAAAAAGTCAGTGGCGTGGCAATGACTTTCTATATTCAAAACTTCACCGCCCAGTATCTCAAAAGTTAAGACATTTAAGCCCTGACAGGGTAACTTTTGCCGTGCTTTCATTCGTTGTGCTGCTGATGAATTTTCTGGAAAAAGAAAGCAAACAATAAAGCTTGTCATATCTTGATAACGAAGCATTTCATATGAACTTTTTTTCTTAAGCGAATATTACACTGTGATCCGACACGGAATGTGATATTCATTGACCGTGTAGTCTGGACGTCAGTAGCTATTGCATAAAATTACGTATAACAACACTGACACTGATGAAATCATCGGTAAGCATCGATGGTACGGACCTTAGTAAATACCGATCATGTGACATTCGCTTTAACTTACCCAAGGAATCATATCTTAACGTTCGGCCAGGTACGAGATTTAAACAAGTCTCGCACACTTTTGCATGAGATGTTAAAAATGATGACTAAGCACACAACATTGTGTAGAACAGTATAATAATTCAGGGAAATATGACTGTCCTTGGTAAACTTCGATGTTTCAGGAACATCGATATGTCATCTGCCCTACACAATGCTCAGTTGCTATTAGCTTTTTCAGGTGAGTTGGTCCGATTGGGCAATAGCTGGTCTGTTAAATACAGCCAAGTCAAGAACTCTCAACAAGATGCCAATACAACTTCATTTAAGTAAATGTTGATACCACCGAATCATAGCAGCTCTAAATAAATAATCCCTTCATAATTCATCATGCTACAGAATAGCAGGCATCGCTGAAGAGTAGTTTATATTGCCTTATAGGTTATGTTTTTGATTTACTCTTTATTTTTATTTTGCAGGAAAATACATATATATGGCGGACATGCCAATTTTTTCCTCTTCAATTACTACCATTTTGATCTGTATTCAAAAACAGCAAACGATCTCCCTCCTCCCGTGCGTAGGGTTCTATATACGTCACTGTGTAAAAGATTTTGTACCGAATGTACACGAAGTTTGGCAACTTTTCTAAAAGCAAAAGTTCTTTGCGTCTGACAACCATGCTTGCTACTTTACTACCCTTGATATTTTTAATGCATTGAAAGAGCGAAAGTGTTGTTCATATCTTTGCGATTACAATGCTTGTGTTAGCAACTTTTTGCATTTCAAGAGTAACGACAAGCAACGCCTGGCGTTCACCTAGGGTTAATGTTATTTTTTGGCAGATGTACATGGAACATCAAGAAAGGTGATTGTTTCTTTTTTATACTGAATCAGCCGAGAAGTTGGTAACCTAAGTACCAGAATGGCGTGAGTATTACAAAATAATCGCAGATATTTGATTTATCCAAATTTTCAACTGCTCAAGGCTACGAAACCAAAGAATCATATGGCAGATTAGTTCTATCTCTAATAACAACAGTTTGACATGCTGGCCGGTTCGTGATGTACGGATTTTGTCACATAATGAGCAGCGGATGTCTGGCCGGTTCGTCTGGCAGGCCTAATGCGTGGCACCATCATAGACAGAAGCCCAGTGAAGCAAAATTTGTTAATACATCTGTAAAAGAAAGACATATCTTCGAGCATTCATCTTTAGGGGAAGTGTCATCAGTTGGACACCTCCCTTTTGGACAGTTTAGTTAGTAGCATTCCAAATTTGTGGCTAATGCTCCAGGCAGAGTCCTATAAAAGTATTGTAGCCTAATCCAACTAGCGCCCGTCATCTGAACTCGGAAATGCTTGAACCAATTGTTAATTCTTCATAATTTTATTACAAGTCCTCCCAAGTACTCCACAAAAGGCATCTCTCGCTGGTCGTATATAAGTCTCAAGCCATTTCTATCTTGAAGACTAACAGATATCTAGGTAATTGCCCTCCCATATAATTTGGGAGAAAAGCTAACTGCAGTCAGCAGCCATAAATACTAGCCCAGCACACCCATATCTTAGCTTAGAAGTGACCATTTTTCAACTCTAGATAGGGTTACGTGTACAGATAAGTTCACGTACCCTGAAGCAAATACCGCTGTTTTCGTAATACATCAGCTTGGGCTATTACTTAATGTAATTACGTCCTGAAACAAATGAGCATTTCCAGACGTTTTTTTCCACGACCCGAGCATGGCCATCTTAGTTTCAATTTGTTCAGCGTATATTGAGGAAATTCTCGATTAACTCGAGCGTTAAAATTGCTGAATCGTTTATTATGTACGCGCAATTTGTCCAGTACATGGATGAATATAATTCGCAAGAGGGGTGAACTGTAGTTTTTGGGGTTGTGATGTGAGTATTCCTACCCGTAAAAGAGATATATGCCTGCTTGCTTCGTGTCATCAAAGGCATGATCTTATTATGGAAGGCAATGTCTCCACCAAAAGTAACCCGGAAGGAACTTGACTTCAACCAGATTTCGCATTGCACAAACTCACTAAGTATGTACTTACTCGCGAGGAAGCATAGTATAAACAGACGATCTTTATTCTTGGAAGTATCGGAAGAAAATTCTAAGGGTAACGTATTTGACAAATAAGCTCAACCTAGACCAATCAAACACCGGATGTGATAATTTCCTATTCACCGAAAACTCACACTACATAATGAATCTAATCATTGATTAACATATTCTACCTAAAGATAGCCAATGAAATACTATATTCGCAGATTTGAAAAATCATCCGAGATGAAGTAGGATATCCTAGCGTCATGTATGGGAACTAGTCAGAGCTATGCTTCTCCTCTCCTGAAAATATTAATTAGGGAATGCTTCAAAAGAAATGGAAAGAAGGCAATTAATATTAAGGCATATATTTAGACTCTAACATAAAGTGGATGTACAGATAGATTATTTGATTATGAAACTCAAATTTTTTATTTGTAGAATCAGACATTCTAAGCAGTATCTAACTTTTTCACAACTCTCAACTCCTTAAAAGAAATTCTGATTTACGACATGCAAAAGGTCTATATAAAGACAAAAAATCAATGAGCTGTTACTTATACTTCAAACGAGATACAGAAAAGGCTTGGGTACCAACATCACAACGTAATTGTTTTCAAGATGGCACTCTTTCTTAGCTACTACATCGTTCAACATCATTTCTTCAGGAATCATTTGTATAAGAATTTGAATGAATTTAAGAAAAAGCTATCTATATGTCGAATAGAGATACATCAAGAAATTGATTCAAATAATACTTACTCTGTTATTTAATTCTGGTTTGATTTTCCAATTGTTATTGTATACTTAAATTGTGATTGCGTAATCTGGATGGATGTGACTACAACTTGATTGTGGTCCATTTAACGAATTATGAGTGCTATTTACCTGATGTGGATAATTTATACTATGGACTCGATGCGTTGCAATACTGAGTCTTATTTTTATATTTAAAACTATTCACCTACGTACAAGGAGGAATTCCTTCCTACTGTAAGGAATTGTGGTGATAAATTTTATATACTATACTGTGTGACAAAAAAAGGTAAACACCTACGTATGTTTATCCGATTTTAATAATTTTTGACATTATGTTCAGTGTCCCTTATTAGTA